ATGGTTCGGAACATCCTGGAAGTCCACAATTGCACGTCCAATGCAGCAAACCCTCGATGACTGCCCGCTTGAGCCCTTGAGGCATCTTTGTCCTTGTCGCTGTGATAGAGTATGCTGACATAAGGGCACCACGGTAATGACGCGCCATCTCTGCTATGAGTGAATGGTTGCGATCCAGGCGTGCAAGTTCATGTGAACTGAAGAACTCGCTGAATGAGAGTTGAAGCAAAGGACCTTGAGACCATGGTACCATCCCTTGCTTGACGAGGACAGCTTGACTTGAGTATGTATGAGTGTAGTGGTGATCATTGACCGCTTGATATGTTAGCAAACGACTCGCAGTATTGAGCTACTTGGGAGACGTTACCAAAGTAAGACATCAAGTCACGCAGCAACCTGTCCACGACAGACAAGATGTGAGAAGGTTCATCTGTCAGACCATAAATAAGAGAAAGAATTGCAAGCAGTCTCATCCAGATCTGTTCCGCTTCTGCAAGGGACTCCGTCGGCAGATCCTGATTCTCGTCTAAGATTTTCCTAAAAAAGCATTTCACATGGTACACGCCATCATGTAGCAGATCGCGGGGATCCAAGTCGCGGCTCTGGAAGAATGCTGCTCTCCGACCTCGGCGTCTTCGTCTCTTTGAAGGGTATTGGCCGCCCTCTAATTGAGGGAGGCGATGCTGTATACTTGAGAAGTACTCCATGTTAGTCCGAAATCTTTCAAAATCAACACCATCGAAAAGAAACTGCACTCGGCTTGCCAACCGTTGGGCATGCTCATGGAGAGACCCATGTAGCCACAGAGTAGACAGAACCGACCCGTGATATTTCTCATTCTTGATGACGGGTTTTTTCGGGGTGACTCTGGAAATTGGATGATAATCAAGCTTGTCAAAGTAGTAACTGGGTTGAAATTTGTGTCGACGCTGGAGCTCAGCGATTGCGTCTTGGATTGTGCTTTGAGTATTTCGCTGCAAAACTGACAGTTCTTTTGGCTCTCCTGTCTGCATGATACCCGTACGGTCTATCAAATCATCGAGTTTGCGTGAAATCGATTGTTCTAAGACGGTTGACGAAAGTTGAAGACGGCATTCAGCCTCGGCTTGTTGTAGCAAGAGTAGCTTTAGGAGAATATGCTGCTGCTCTGGTGATTCAAGCTCAAAGAAACTGCCGTGTCTCGAATTTCTGATTCCGAACTGCTGTTTCGCAAGCTGTTTGATTGCGTTGAGAAGTCGACGACGCATCTCATGATAGCGGACTATATCATCCCGGACCGGAGTAGAAAGTCGAGGATCGGGTGAAAAGCTAACCACGTTCTCCATTCCCATAACCTTCAAGGTCGCAGGGAGATCGCGGTACATGGCTTGAGCCTCAGCTACCACATCTTGAAATTTTCTCTGGAAGTGCGAACGCCAGGCTTTGTAGGAGTCGAATTGAGAGTAGCGGCCAGGAATCTTAATGTTGGCAAGCCATATATTGTCGAATAAGAAGCATTCGGGATCGAGAACTGTTCCGCCCATGATTTCGTGGAATTGCTCAGTGCAAACAAGATGCAAAGCGAGAAGAGTCGTCACCGTCTCGGCACATGGATAGGAATATTGATTCTCCTTGCCACATAGCTTGCTTTTCCGAGAGAGTTCAATCCCCGTTTCTTCGCATCGTGCAAGAGTAATTGGCTCGCTCCTGTCTTTATTGAGAAGCCGAAGGATGAGATCGTGCCGAATTCCCTTAGATGGCAGCTTGTGAAATTCAGCAGCCCAGTGGAGCTTTTCGGCTGTCCATGTAGAAAAGTCTTTGTAAGTTAAGCCATCCAAGTTCTCGAATCCAGTTACTTCTTCCTCCGGTCCTGTTGCTGCCCCATCTGCATCATCGTCTGAGGATAGCGCTGAATCAGCACCTGGCTCGTTGAGGTTCTCTAGACATAACTTCTCATGGTGCTCGAGCTTCCCAAGTGGCAGAGGCTTGTTACAAAGGGAACACTTCACAAAATTGACCGGGTTCCCCAAGCATACTGATTGGTGGTTCTCGATTTCTTCCCGTTCCTTTATCTTGTCGCAGAACATACATTGGGCGAGTAGTCCAGGTGTAGGGTTCTCCCAGCAAGTATCTTCATGCAGCCTTATACTTTTGGAAGCAATACGACCACCACAATGGGAACACGTAGCGAAGTTGGTTGGGTTTTCCGGGCAAGATTCTTGGTGCTGAATTAAATTGTCTTTCCATTGCTTCTTGCGGCAGTGAGTGCACTGCGATAGCGACGATCGAAAACCGGGAAAGCACGTTAACTCATGGAACCGGATCTTAGAAGAAGGCAATTTCGTTCCGCAAAACTCGCACTCAACGATATCCAGTAAACACAACTCCTGATGAGACTGAACCAACGAAAAGTGAAGCCTCTCTTTACAGTACTCGCACTCTACCAGCTTGCCGTTAGTGGTGATCGGTTCTGATGCTGACCCATTGATTTCAGGTGGCAAGGTACTGGAGTGCTTCGTCTTCGTGGTCGTTTCTGATGCTGACCCATTGATTTCAGGTGGCAAGGTACTGGAGTGCTTCTTGTTTCTATAATTGCGGTTTCGCTCCGGGAATTTGTAGTCTGGAAAGGCGTCAAGAACGGTTTTCATGAAGCGTTCTTTACTGTCCCATGCAGGGCGCATGAATGCAGTCTTCTTCCATTTCTCGTAACGCTGGTACGAACGTGCAACTCGCGCAATATCATTGGGTGTAAGAAGAAGTTGTCCTTTCTCATCCTTGATCTCGAGAAAATGCCACCACTGCCGTGTTAAGGCCCCTCCCACGTTATATGCATATGGAGCGGCGTTATGCCGGCGTAAAGGTGCATTTATACCGTCCTTCTGTGTATCAATCTTTGCAACTCGAATAATATCATGAAGGGACATCCATTCAGCATCGTCGGCTTCTCCACGTATCACTCCGGTAGATTTGCGTTGGCGGGTAGATACTTCTTGATTTTTTGTGTACTTCGCTTTTGGCGGCTTTGCAGAAGGCTTCGTATTATCGTTGTCCACTTCGACAATAACTTCATAGCGGGCATTCTTTTGCTGTGGGACTGTCCTAGGGAATAAGCCTGGACCACTCTTGGTATTAACGGCTCCTTGTGACAGCTCCTTTGGCGAAGGCTCTTTGCGACTTTCGTCGAGATCATCGTCGACCTCGCTTGAGTTTTCTTCCCGATATTGATATCCGTTGTTCGTAGTGCCGTGAACTCCGTGCTCGCCAGATTCGCGGGGAGGGCTTGGTTGTTGATTGTCTTTGGATTTGTCACCGCCACCACTATCCATTTCCTCGTCCTCCTCGTCGATGCCTTGGGTTTCTCTTCCATCGGTAAAAAGCCCTCGACGCATCTTATATTTCCGTGGTCTTGATTCTGCCATCCTTGTTTCTGATGTGGGGGTATTGGCACCTGGTGATAAGATGCTTCTCTGTGACTTGTTGACTTCCACACTTGTTTCTGATGTGGGGGTATTGGCACCTGGTGATAAGATGCTTCTCTGTGACTTGTTGACTTCCACACGATGTGCATTCAGAGTGGTTGTGGATGGAGACTGTGGGCCATTGCTCCGCGGCGTGAAAGTTGGAAATTTATACTTGGGAAGAGCATCGAGAACAGTCCTAATAAAGCGGCCACGATTCTTCCTTTTCGGGCGCATGACAGCTGTAGCTTTCCATTTCTCATAAGTCTCATAGCGTCCTGTAACACGACCAATATCTTCGCGAGTAAGAAGAGGCTGGCCTTCCTGATTTTCAAGGTCTAGAAAGTGCCACCATTGTCGTATCATTTTCCCTTCGTCATTGTATGCATATGGTGCTGCTCTATGGCGACGCAATGGTGCAGTGACTCCGTTACTCGCAGTTTCAATTTTCGCCAGTAGAATAATATTAGGAAGAGACATCCATTCTGCTTCCCCTTCCTCCCCTCCTGGGTCCTCAAGTTTTGCTCCCCGAGACTTGTCAATAATCTTCTGCTTCTTTGCGGAACGTCTTTCAGTTTCGTTCTCGTCGTCACTCGATGATTGAGCATGCAAATTTCTCTTGGAAGGGTTTTCATGCTGTGGAGTTTGAAGCTGCCCATTCTCGTCACCGGCCATACTACCTCGCATGCTATTCTCTTTGATAATTCCCGGTGATTCTCCGATCGATGGATTTGGAGGCACAGATGGTCGCGGACGTAGTGAACCCCTAACCCCTGGGTTGTTGAGGGGGTTTCTCGAGCATCCCTTCTCATGCGAATCCCGAACCTCCAACGGTGTCTTGGTTCCACAGTAAAAACACTTCTCGACTGCCGGATTGTACCTGCAGCCGTCTTGATGTCTCTTATGGGTGTTTGCGTAATAGGTGGTTTTGTTGGGGCAGAAATCGCACTTGAACAAGATCGCCTTTCCATTCTCGTCATACCGAAAATGAGGATTCCGCGGTTGATCGCCGAGTTGAACGCCTCCACCGTTTCCTCCTTCGCCATCATATTCGCCATCTGCGCCACTATTGTCGTTGTCATTTTTCCAGTCGTCATGTTCGACTCCTCGATCTCCCAGTCCGCCACGCTCGGCACGCATACGAATACCTCGATGGGTCGGCATAGTTGCAAAGACAGGAGTCTAAATGTACCATCCCATGAGAATAAAACGTCGAAGTCGTGATGTCATGTTGTTGTACTGGCGAATTTGCCTCAGAGTGTTTGGACTCGATAATGAGCTGCCAATCTCGAAATCCCGATTTTGTAGAGGCTGCTAAGAAACTGTGGGAATCTTGAAGGGGAAAGTGCCTTTAAGAGATCGATAATCGTATTTTGTCTCAGGGATATAGATATTTATATTTACATTTACATTTAACAATATAAATTTTAGTATAGAATGGAAGCTACTAGAAATATTCGTATAATGTGAAACAACCCTTTTTAGAACAAGTTCTACTTTCTCGAAAGTTACATATACTTCTAGAAACACCTCTTAATATGAGACAAGAAATCAAACTAATTTGGAGCAGAATCCTAATGGTAAGGCGTTGCTTTCCGGTATAAATATGGAGATTGGCAAAGATTGCGGGTTCGAGTCCCGTCTGGGTCGTCTTTTTTGCATCTTTTTACGTCTTGTTGTTTAGTTTTAATGTTGGTTTGAAGTTTTGAAGTCGAGAATGTCTTGGGGTTGCAGGTTGGGTGAGCCCGGACGCTGTGTTGCCCCTTTTAGCTAAGCGAGCCCAGGAAATGAGAGCTACCGAACATAAATTCACAGGTAAAGTAGCAGCGCTTTCTAGTTTTTATTCTCAGATAAAAAATGGCAAAGAACAGACTTCTTGTTCTTAAACAGAGATACAGAGACACGGCGGCTTCCTTCTTGGGTTTGCACATAATTGAAATATGCCCCTACGAAATACTCCAAAAGCGGCGGTCCATCTAGTGTGGGGCACCTTGTTCATTCCGAGATACTTTCTCCCCACCTTTGACATGTCAGAACACGAACAGCCATCCGACATCGCCAGCCACGCAATTGGCTCCCAACTGCCTAGCTTCAGCTGATCTCTCCAATTCAAATGACGGCCATGTAACTGGTCCGTAACGTTGCATAGCTCGCTGCCTCTGAACCGCTGATGCGGGTCCACAAGGCTGAACCTCTCATGGTAGAAAGGAGCCTGGGACTCGACCTTAAAAGACTACTGACTCCCTCAGGAGTATTGACTCAGATCCGCGAATCACTATGGCACCTCACGCAGACTCTCCCATCGATGATGGCGAATCCCTCCCCGCTCCTCTTCGCCCTGCAATGTCAGCAAACCCTCCACGATTCCTCATAATTGGAGCAGGGTCACGAGGCAATGCTTATGCCAGAGCTACAGAAGAATCGACAAACGGCCTGATTGTCGCAGTGGCAGAGCCTATCACATTTAAACGAAAGCAGCTCGGAGAGAAATACATATGGGGCAAGGCTGGACCCGTGGAGGGACAAGAATTTGAAGACTGGAGGGCCTTTCTGAAATGGGAAACAGAGAGGCGTGCAAAAGCCAGCAGGGGCGAAGAGGTCCCGGAAGGTGTAGATGGGGCCTTCATCTGTGTGCTAGATGAGCAGCATAAGGAAGTTATTGTTGGATTGGCTCCCCTCGGTCTACATATTATGTGCGAGAAGCCTTTGGCTACCACGCTGGACGACTGTGTCTCGATTTACAAGTCTCTCCTCCCGAACCTTCCGAATACCACACCTTCTAGAGTCTTCTCAATTGGCCACGTCTTGAGATACAGCCCACATAATATGCTGCTTCGAAAGTTGCTGTTGGAAGATAAGATTATCGGGGAAATCCAGTCAATAAATCATACAGAACCTGTTGGGTGGTGGCATTTTACACACAGTTATGTCCGGTATGCATCATGCAACACACACTTTGCAGTATAGATACTAATAGCCCGCAGAGGCAATTGGCGGCGAGAGTCTACGACAGCACCATCGCTCCTGACAAAATCTTGTCATGATATTGATGTTCTTCTGTGGTTGCTTTGTTCCCCTCCCCCGGGTTCAACTGGCCCAGCCCATATACCTACAACTGTCACATCCGTCGGTTCCCTTCAGTACTTCAACAAGATTCGGAAGCCAACTGCCGCCGGGAATGCCACCAATTGCCTCTCTTGTCCTATCGAGACCTCCTGCAAATATTCTGCAAAGAAGATTTACCTAGGTTCTGAGCTCAAGGGTCTTGGTTCTGGTAATACCCACTGGCCAGTCCACATTGTGGTACCTGAAATCGAAGAGTGTGTCTCGGTGGGCGGCCCTGCTGCTGGCGAAGCCGCCATCATGAAGAAGCTCGAGGAGAATTACAGCCAGGAGACCCCAGACTCAGAGGTGGCTGCCAAAAACTGGTTCGGCCGCTGTGTTTATGAATCAGATAATGATGTGTGTGATGAGCAGGTGGTGACCATGAGCTGGGACAATGATCCTCTCCCCAAGGTTAACGACGACAATGAGAAAGCTCTCGTTGGGCGTGGTGCAAAAACAGCCGTCTTTCACATGGTCGCCCACACGAAGAAGATCTGTGACAGATACACCAATATCTATGGCACTGATGGAGAGATCTACGCCGATAGCACGACTATCACTGTCGAGGATTTCAATACTGGTGCAAAGAAGATATACAGACCATACATCGCAAAAGGTGGCCATGGTGGCGGTGATGACGGACTAGCTAGGCAGTTTATACTGGCTGTAGATGCTGTCAAGAACCACGGATCCACTGTCGAGGAGGCACAGCGAGTGCATGTTGGCTGCAGCTTGGAAGAAGTCATCCGCAGTCATGCGATGGTCTTCGCCGCTGAGCAGGCTCGGCTCGGGAAGAAGGTTTTGGACTTCCCCCAGTGGTGGATCGAGAACGTTGAAGCGATTCTAGCGAAGTCCTGATTTCAAATTTCACCCACGTATCAATACCAATTCTATGAAGTCCTATATTATCACACTCAATAGTTATGCACAAAAGCTTCTTGCGATAGCCTCATCCTCGGTGTCCTCCTTAGCGAGGTCGCCGAACAATCTTTCGCAGCAACCAGGATCAAGTCTTAAGCTCCAATGGGTTCCATCCTTCGGCTCACGATGCAAGAACACCGTTGGCGTTTAGATCCTTGTAAGTCTTCAGCCCTATGGAGGCTCGTCGACATTGAGTTAAGCTTTTTGGACCCTGTAAGCTCCTCGGACCACAACTCCACGCAACCCCCTGATTACTTTCCCCCTTGCCTCGTTCCAGCTGAAAAGTAGATCAAAGTATATACGCCGCACAATTTAATCGTCGGGGTACTTTTCGATCAATGGCCGTTGTTCAGCTGGCAGGGCACTGGCCTGATATTTTCGTGCGGCTGAGGACTCTTACCGTTCGAGACCGTTGGGCCAAGTCACCGAGTGGTTATCAAGCATTGGAAGTGCATGTCATCGTATACGATCCTTGCTAAATGCCAACAGGATCAGAAAATGACTCCTAGAAACGTTCACCGCATGCAGGCTTTGCTGCCCAGAATGTCGTCGTCCGATTTCGAAGAGGCTGTGCTTCGAGAACCCTGTATCATGTGTATCATCCCTTTATTTTGAAATATATTGAATTTCCGACCCCACCCAAGGATCAACGATATTCTACAGACCGGTTAAAATTGCTTGATTTCAATGGTTTGCAGGTTCATGGAAGCGACCCCAACTTCCAGCAAGTACTCAGCTCTTCTTTTTGAAGCTAGAACTCAAATATTATTTGTCACAACTATGCCCGAGCACGAAAAATCCGAGCATCTCTTTAAATTGACCTGCAATAATACGATCAGACATCGTCTGTTGCCTCGGAGAGCAACGGCCTAATCAATGTCCCACTTATCGCAAGCCCCGATACAAGAGAAAAGGAGAACTCGAGATCATGATGAAAAACTATAAAAACTGTAAAGGTTGCTCGCTGATGCTAGCATCCTTCTCTCTGCCCAACAGCAGACATCGTTGGACTTCGAAAGAGGCTACCCGGCAAACGTCACCGTTCTTATTTGATCTTCTCTATCTTTCTCTCTGACAATGCGATCCTTTAAATTTTCCATCTTCTGCACCGTCTTTACTTCCATCACTGGTCTCGCCATAGCGGACGCTATCACTAGCTCCGTGCAGCCAACCTCCAGGCGTCGAGACTCCGCTGAGCACGTTCTCCTCTTCCCAAGTTGCTTATGTGAGTTTGATGTTCACACCATTTCTCTAGTATTTCGGACCGCTTGACTTCACTAAATTGTCTCGATTCGAAGTTCTATCTCCTCAACTTCAGTGCAGTGGTGTAACAATATGGTCTTTAGTATAGCGGCTCGCCTTCTGGTCTTCCAGGAGCCTCAGTTATAGTCGACACTGCCTACGATAGCACCATTTGGTGGGAAGGAGCTTCTCAATCAGTGACTTTCAGCGACGGCGACGTTTTCAGCTGGTACATCGCTGCTCGAGTGCCAGACGGGACATACGCTGGTACGGGAAAGAACGAGTACACCTCCTTCTACTGTTACAACGAGTGGGATACCTTCCAATACACAACTTCCGATGGCACAGATTGCACGGTGGTCTACGATTGCAACCACAAAACCCCCATCAGCTCTGTGCCTGGCGATGAGACAGATATCTACTACGATCTCAGCAGCAATTACGTCTCCTTCCCGCCTGCGTTTACCACCAACACCCGGAACATACTGAACTGGGCCTTCAACCAATTTGACTGGACCTCAGGCCAAACCGTTGACGACACAACACTCGACCTCGGCAACGGCGTCTCCATATACTTCACAGGTCATGGCAACATCCCAGGAACAACGCTCTTCGGACTCGCCACAGTCCTGCGTCAAATCGTCAGCGCTCAACCCGGCTTGACATCCACATGGACAGAACAAGTAGCCACAACCTGCGCCATCCCCTGCGAGCACGGGACTTGCTGCCAGTATAACTACGAGACCGTTAATTACTGGCAGATGGCTGAGACAGTCACCGTGTATGCTGAGAATACAGCCACGAACTCAGATCAGGGGAGCTTGAGTAAGTTTGATGCTCTGAGATCGGCGGTAAGGAGAGCTGTGCTGACATTGATATTTAGCTTATAATATCGCGTACAATCCTCCGGCTGCTGATTGCACGCTGACACAGATCTTGGCTGATGCTTTGGGTGTTGCGAGTTTGAGTGGAGATGCTGCTCCTATCTTTGGTGCTTTGGGAAGTGGAGTTGGTATCGTGGCCCCAGCTTGATGGGTGCTGAAAAGTATCGTAATGGTTTGTAACATTAGCTTGCGTGGTGGTGTCGTAGTAGTTTCGATTCTGTCTGCTAGAACTCTCTTGCTTAACTGACTTATCAATGCTACGCAGCTACTGGCTCGTGCTGATGAAATAGCCGCGAGGACGAGAGGTCACGCTGCTGCTCGCTCTCCCCGGCTCGAGACAATCTTGGAGCATGCCCTGCCATCTTCGATCTAATAAATACTGCCCGGGTAACTACAATGGGACGCATACATGACCTTTACTTGCGGCGGAAGGTCCGGAGGAGAATCGTTGTTCGCGTTGTCGATGTTGTCTCGGAATGAAAACTTTTGGCGCGAGGT